TGATGACCATTTTTTTAACTGCTTTTATTAGTCTACATTTTCTTTTACTACAAACCTTTTACCATTTTCCTTTTTGTTCATTGATTTTAAGAACTTTTTACTCATTAAACCACTTAGCCTTTTGTTTTAAATTTTTATTGTGACGAAATATGTATAATATAAAATTATCATTTTAAGCACTTTTAAATATCCAGGTCAGTGGCATTAAATACTATACATCCTTGTGTAACCATAACTACTGTAAATCTCAGAACTTTTTCATCAATTCATTCTGAAACTGTCCCCAGTTAGATACTAACTCCTAGTTCTCCTCAACCCTTGGAAACCACTGTTCTGCTCTCCGTCTCTGCATGGAGTGGAGTCATGCAGACTCCTGAGCCTGGCGCCTCGGGGTTGAGCCCTTTGTCCTGTGGTGGTCTGGCAGCTTAGGGGCCCTTTCTTTCAGTAATCGGGGTTGCTACAGGCTTGCCTGCTTGCCTCCTTTCTTTTTCTGTTTTTTAAAACTTATTATTATTTAAATTATTAACCTCTAGTATCTCGGAAAAGAAAAGCCAAGAACTGGGAAGATGAAGACTTTTACGACAGCGATGATGACACATTTCTGGATCGGACTGGCCTGGTTGAAAAAAAGCGTCTGAACCGCATGAAGAAGGCTGGGAAGATTGATGAGAAGCCTGAGACCTTTGAGTCATTGGCAAGTTTTATTTTTACAAGTAGTTGCTCTTTAATTTTTTATTTAAAAATTTTAAAAGATTTATTTATGCATACAAAACGGATACAGGCCAGAGGTGTTGGGGGTGAGAGGATTCACCAGAGACAGAGCAGGGAGCAGAACAGGCAGATCGACGAAGTACACTGCTGAGGGGAGCAGTGGGAGGGTCCGGAGAGGTCTGCCGCGCCATGTGGTCACCTCCGGGTGGGAATCGAACGCATACTCAAGTGGCTGTGCTGTGTCCTAACCCGTTGTGCCACCAGGGAAGGACTGTTTAATTTTTTGAATAAAATTATGTGTTATTTAAATGTCTTATAGTTACAGTTTTTGTAACAGTAGCATTGAAATCTGGTACCAATTTGTGATCTATAAATTTGATAACAGACAAGTCTTACCAGGTTATGGGGGAAGGTTTGGCTTACTGGAGGCTGTCTGCTTCTAGCTGGTATTGACTCAATACCAGCTCAATAGTGAGTGTTCCTTAAATACGATGTTAACTTTGCCCCCGAGAGAAAGGTAGAAATTCCAAATTGGGGCTTTCTGAGGTGAAATTGACATTAGGTTTCTGATGGTCAGTAATCATGAAAGGAATTTTCTAATGTGTAGTTTGATAATAGTATATAAACAGTATACCCTTCATGAAATTATCATAAGATGACTGGTGTTTTCTGTATGCTCAGTAGTACTCAGAGTTTAAAACATGACCAACATCTGTCCACTTGATTCACTGGTGAAAACAAATGCTTTGAGCATTTTTGAGTAAGAGTTCTGTTCATTCATTCATTCTGAGTTCTTTAGTTCAAAATTGATTACATGAGAATCAAATCAATGGGAAATGGTAACTCCATGAGGCATAGACTTAACAGGACTTTTAAATTAATTAATTAATCCTCTTAAAGTTTATAACAATGGTGTAAATAAGAGCAAGAGAAAGAAAACTACCTTATTTTGAAAGAAGAAAACATCTACTGACTCTGTTAATTTGAGTGTTACAGGTTGCAAAGTTAAATGATGCTGAAAGGGAACTCTCTGAAATCGCTGAGAGGCTCCGATCCTCGAGCCAGGGTAAGTCATGATTTGTGAAAATGTGGTTTTAGGGCATCTCCCGTGTGCAGCACCCCTACTAGGCTTAACGTGTGTATAGACAGATGAGGAGAAGGAAGCCCATCCACGCCAGCCTCTTTCCTTATCCCTAAGCGCAGTAAAGCCCTCTGTCCTGTTCTATGTTAATGACTTTTCTGTTGAAACTTTGGCTGGATTTTAAAATATTTGTGGCCATCTTCCTGAACTTTTATTATCCCTTTTGCACGCAGCTCTCTCCGAGTCATCCTCTCAGGACTCCCTAGACGCGTTCATGTCAGAAATGAAATCAGGGAGTGCATTAGATGGCGTGTCCCGGAAGAAACTTCACCTGAGAACTTTTGAACTGAGGAAAGAACAGCAGAGACTGAAAGGGTTGATAAAAATTGTAAAGCCTGCAGAGATTCCAGAACTAAAAAAGTAAGTCAGTCTTATATTTAGAATTTATTTATTTTTACAAACATATAAATATACACTGTAGAAACTGCGAGCACTCTAAAATCTTTCGATAGAAGGAACACTGTCGTAAGGCTTTTATAGGTCTCACAGGGCAAAGCTTGTGAGCTTTGTGAGTTTCATTTGTTTATTGAGTGAGACCCTTGGTCAGGCTGAGAGGCCCTTCCCCAGACACAGTGGACATACAGCGTGGGACAGAGCATGCTCTAGAGTGTGAGTGGCCAGAATTAGTTTTGTCATGTTTATGGTGCCTGAAATCGAATGACTTTTTTTTTTTTATATAGTTGTAGAGTTTCACAACATGAAAAGGCTTGCCTGCTAATTTATTTGAGTCTGGTCTTGCCTTTGGGAGTTCTATATGAGAAGACAGTGTCTCGAGTCTTTCAATCTCAGTTACAGAGTTTTCTTTTGATCTCTGCAGAGTGGAAGGTCGCTCTTACACTTGGAATTTTATATAGGCTTGTGAGCAGAGATAAAGATTTATACTGTTATCTTCTTAGATAATAATCATAGGGATAGAGGTAGAACATAAGAAACTGTTTAAAGCACAGAACAGAAGGCCTACAGATACCATGTACTGTCTGTCTTCTTCCCACGTGAGATTACCTTCCAGATGTTCCTCCTAACTGACCTCATTGACACCCACCAGGTAGCCCTTGGTTTTGATCCCATCTTCTGCCTTCATCTCCTTTGGGATGGTCTTACTCCTTCTCCAGGTCAGCCAACTGTTTAATGGAGTTAAAAAGATCTATGTTCCTCTTATCTTGGTATTTTTATGCCACAGCTTCCCTGTGGGGAAAGGCTGAGGAGGGCACTTGTGTGGCACAGGGCCCTTTAGGTCAGGCAGTCAGGTGGCCTTGGCAAGGCATGGTAGAGGGCGGAGTGAAGCTTGGCCCAAGAGCCCCACCGAGAGGAGACAGATAAAAGGAGGGCATCAGCTTTCTGTTGGCCACTGTGCATCAGAAGTGCCAGTGCTTTTTCTCTGTTCCAGAATGTCGGGCTGCCCTGTGGGCAGTGTGAACGACCAGGGTCTTCCTCCCCTGTCTTCCTGCCAGCTCGGCATTGTTACCTCTGCTTGTCTTGCAACTCAGTTGCCAGCCCTTTGCTTTTGCTCTGTTCTACCCTGCGCCCACCCTACCTACCCCTAAACACCTCCTTCCCCCCTTTCTGATTTTTACAGTCTTTTTGCTCTCCCTCCACTTTGCCCTCCTGGGCTTACTAGCTTTGGTCACTATCTCCAGCCAGTGAGAATGTTGATAAGCTCGTCAGTCGTAGGCTCTCTCACTGTCTTTGTCATGACACCAGGTTTCCTGCCCCTGCCTCCTGCCCCTTACACACACTTCTTGTTTTTTAAACTTACGTGCTCAGGTTGTTGTATATTGTGAGAGTGGCGTCCAGATAAGGGCTGTGAGCCCTCATCAGAGGTTGTTGGTGGAAAATTGGGTTTTATGCCGTGCACCCTCTCTTGCCACTTAGTGCGGGAAGCCATGCTTATATATTCTCCTCTGCCAGTGACCTTTGTACTGTGTGTGCCATTTTATGAATGTGAGGTCATGTGACTGGCTGTAAATTGCTAGACAAAGGTAGCTGCCTCATCTTGCCCTTAGTGGTCGGTGTCTGTGACAGTCAGCAGTGTCACTGGCCATTCAGACTCTCCTGGTGAATGCCTCCTCCTTGCTGGTGCTCAGATATGCCCTTATTGGGACAGATGTGTATAATCGTTCTGTCTTCCTAGGACTGAAAGTCAGACTACAGATACAGAAAATAAAGCCAAGAAACTTACGTTGCCTCTGTTTGGTGCTATGAAAGGTGGAAGCAAATTCAAATTGAAAACTGGAACAGTAGGGGTAAGTTGTGGGTCAGGGTGTGAACTGTTAGTTCCTGAGTTATCCTGAGCATGTTGCTCTCTGTTTTCGTGAAAGCGCCAGTGTCTCATTCCATAGTAACATGGGGTAGGGCTGTGGGCGTGGTATGACCTAGGACTTGGTCCTTGTATTTTTCTCTTCAGTTTAAGATTATCAAGAATTGGCACATTAATTCTTATTAGTCATTTTGCATGTGACTGATTTATACATAGAATCCAGCTTATTAATTTGTGGTGAATGTTGCATTCTAGCCAGGGTCTCCTGCATCAAGTGCTCTTTCTGGTGGGGAGATGTTACATTCAGAGTCTCCTAGCATTTGTTAGTAGTGTAGTCTGTGCATCTGGTTCTGCACTGGGGTTTCCATCCCTTCACTTAATCCGCCCAGCACCGTCATAACATGGGAATTATTCCCTCTCCTAGGTGAGGCAGTTGGGTCAGCGAGGTCAAACATAAGATCACACCCTCATGAAGTAATTCAACTGGCAAACACACCCAGGTCTTCTGTCTCTTGAGTTTTGTGATCTCTCTGCTATCCTTTTTGTGATCACTCTGCTATCCTCTAGTTCCCTCACGATGTATGTTTTCACTTTTTATGTATTTCTATTCATAGATACAACTTACAAAAGGTTTTTATCACCCCTAAGCACTGAACTTTATATATCTGTTTGCTAGAGCTACTGTAAAAAAAATACCACAGACTGGGTAGCTGAAGGACAGAAGTCTGTTTTCTCACAGTTCTGGGGCTAGTGCTCCAAGATGCAGGTTGGTTTCCTCGGAGGTCTCCTCTTGGCTTGCAGGTCACTGCCCTCTTCCTTCCTCTTCACAGGGTTCCCCCTGTGTGCATTTGTACCCTGGTCTCTCTTTTTACAAGCACCCCAGTTATACTGGATTAGGGCCCTCCCCTCACAGCTTCGTTTTAAGATCATCACCTTAAGTTGTTGCTAAATACATTTTGAGGACTGGGACTTCAACATGTGAATTTGGGGGGCGGGGGACGGCAGGACACAGTTCAGCCCATAGCACCTTGAGTAGGAGTGAGCTGCTTTCCTGTGCAGAGTTTGACGCCCAGCTGCATGTTCCGAGTGCGTCTGCATGTTAGAGGTAATAGGGGAGTTTCTGCAGCTGACACCTGGAGTGAGTGAGTCCAGCCTCACAGGCTGTTTCAGGATTTCACACTTAATGTTCTTTTGATCGTACACACTAATGAAGATGCGTATTAAGGGCTCATAGATGGGTACAATTTCATGTGAAGTCCTACCTCTAGCAAGCTTCTGCAGATTTTCCAGCTAAGAGCAGCTAGACATTCCGTGTATTGAATTTACCTCATTCATGCTTTTGCCTCCCTTATAGAAGTTACCCCCCAAGCGACCAGAACTCCCTCCAGCATTAATGAGAATGAAGGATGGTCCTGAAGTAGAGGAGGAGGAGGAGGAAGAGGAAGAGGAGGAAGAGAAGGAAAAGGAGGAACATGAAAAGAAGAGAACGGAGGCTGGAAGCAGCAGGCTACAGCAGGAGACAGGCCCAGAAGAAGCAGTGCAGGAAACAGGTCCTCCCACAGACCTCACAAGCACTAAAGAAACACAAAGCCATGGTAAGACCTTCTTTCCCTTCCTGCGCTGTTCAACGAGGCAATTGCATTGATTGTTAATAGATTTGAGAAAGTAAAGTTCATTCTTACATATACATTTTGATTGTATCTGTGAGACAGTGGACTCTGGAAACATACTTTCTTAGACTGCCAGTCATTACTTATCCTCATTGCAAATGAGGGCAGATGTTTCCAGTATGCTTCAGAATTACAGAAATGGGAAAGCTACGGAATCTGATACCACAGCTGCTGTGCAGGAGAGTGGCGGGTGAGGGTAGGTGAGGGGCCTGACCGAGTAGTCTCAGAGTCAACCTCCCCATACTCATTTTTCCTCACTCCTAACAGCATAACTGCACACCTGGACTAACCTCTGCAGGAGCATCTGTGTGTGCATCTTTTTGTTCTTGGTGCTTAAAGGAGAACCCAGTACATAGTGCTAGCGAAGATTTAATGAAAGAGGAATTGACTGGTTGTAAACTTTTTCCCCCTGATTGTATAAGGAGTATATTCATAAATCCCAAGAAGAAAAATTTCTCACAATCCCACCCCTAGAGATCACTCTTAATCTTTTAGTATTGTCTTGTCCTTTGTCACCAGCAGGGATTAATTTCCCACAGGTTGGCCAGAGCAGCTTGGCAAGATTAAGCTCACACAGAAAATTTAGGGCTTGAGGAAACACAGTGAAAACTAACATTGAATTTGTGTGGGAATTTGTGCAAGTCTACTTCCAAAACAAATCAGGCTTGTCTACCTAAAGACGCCAGGCCTGCTGCAGTAGGCCTTCTCTGGAACCACCTTCAGTTGCTTGAGAGGCAGAAAAGTTACTGTTTTCTCATCAGTGAGAGGTGTATCTTTTGTGTTTGTAGCTCCTTTAGTAACTTACTGGCCAGTGTTTGGCCTTCACACACACAAAAAAGGTACTTGTGCAATCGTTCTTGTGAGTCTGGTCTTTGATTCATATGTTGCAAGGATACATAACTGGTTCAGCTGGAAATGGGGGGCAATAAATGTTGTAATTTTTTTGTTTAAGTTACCAAAGTAAATAGGTTTGTATGAAAAGAGCTGATTTAAAAATTCAGATTATAGGGCCCTCCCTGGCAGCACAACGGGTTAAAGCACAGCACCATGAAGCTAGCTGCAGTGCTTCAGTACGAGTTCGATCCCCAGTCAGGGAATTGACCCACATGGCACGGCAGACCTCTCCTGTCTCACCCGCTGCTCCTCTCACCAGTGTACTTCGTTGATCTGCCTGCTCTGTTCCCCACACTATCTGTGGTGAATCCTTTCACCAATCCTGCACCTTTGGCTTGCACCCCAGTTCTATATGCATAAATAAATAAATCTTTTTTAAAAAATTTCAGATTATAATTAGTAAATCTGTAGCTGATTAGAGATCACTTCAGGCCTTTATTTTTTCCTATACTTAGGTATGTGTGTGTATATATACATGTTTATAACATTGACATCATAAGTACATGTGCTGTTTTATAATCTATAACTAATCTATAATCTATAGCTAATCTAAAACTCTATAAGAGTTTTAAAATGTAGATTTAATAAGGGACATAATGGTCTGTCACATGAATATGCTATAATTTTTTTAATCAGTGTTATCCTTAAACATGTTAGTTATTTGTTAAATTTTGATATTTTGAGCATACTTAAATATAATAAATCTTATTTCTTATTCCTTATTGTTTTTAGAAATAATCTAAAAATTAAATTTAGACTATAATTTCTAAGTCAAAGTACCTTTTTTAAAAAGATCTATTTGGCCCTCCCTGGTGGCGCAGCGGGTTAAAGCACTGCACTAAGAAGCTAAAGCCACTTCCACATGAGTTCAATCCCCGCCTGCCCCGGAGGAGATCCACATGGCGTGGCAGACCTCTCCTGGCCCGCCCGCTGCTCCCCTCAGCAGTGTATTTCAGTCCGTCTGCCTGCTCTGCTCCCCACTCTGTTCCTGGTGAATCCTCTCACCCTCTGCATCTCTGGCCTGTACCCCAGTTCTGTATACATAAATAAATAAATCTTGGGGGGAAAATATTTATTAAAAAAGGTGGTTCTGTTAGACATTTGAAAGTTCATTTATAGAAAACCTAATTAAAGTTAGTTGAAACTATTGATAACAAAATTGAATGATTATGTATGTACTTAGCTTGTCTTGCTTTTGTTTGTATTTTCTTGGCTCACCACCACAAATTAAGTAACAATATGCTTTGGTACTGCATTTTATAGAAAACATGTCTCACTGCAGCCACGTGGATCGGGATAACGATTATGAGGAGATCAGGACAGCTGCCTCCCGTGAGGCGCCCTCAGGCAAGTAGGATAGCCCGCTCCATTGCTGCGCGGGCGGCCAGCCGGTGTCACAGAGGAGCACCGCAGCTGCCCTGGGGGGCACAGAGCAAGGGTGGCCTTCCAGACACTTGCTGCTGCAGGACCCGGACAGGGCTGATGGCAGCCATCCCCTTTTGTCCGTGGGGAAGATGCTTCAAGACCCCCAGTGGATACCGGGAACCACAGATACATCGGGTGCTGTATATTGATGTTTTTCCCGTACATACATACATACCTGTGGTTAATTTATAATTAGGCACAGGAGGAGAATAATAACAACTAATAAAATAGAACCATCATAACCATAATGTAATAAAAGTTATGTGAATGTATTCTCTCTCAGAATATCTTACTGTACATTACGTTTTCAAACTGTGGTCACCCAAGGAAACAGACCTGGCTGTGGGGCCACTGTATAAGAGCGCTATGCTTGGCGCTGTCTCATGCCTGTCTTTTGTCCTCTTCTGCCTCCTGGGGTTTCTGCTCCCTGACCCGCAAAGCACCCAGTAACTTCATGCTTCCCTCTGGCTGTGCATGGGCCTCCAGGGTTTTATATTTCCCTGAGTGAAATTTGTGTCTCTCATGGGAGTGGTTCCCGGTTATTGAAAGAAGTTGGTTGAAAAGCTGATCTACTAAAAGGATTGCTTTTTTCTGTGTGTTTTTAAACTGCTTTTACTTGTGATGGTTACTGTAGAATAGTAAATCAACCCCATTTTTCTTTACCTTCTCAGATGGTATGATTCTATTAAGTCTTGCAGAACAGCCTTAGAATTTGAGAACTAGATTATTAATGGAGGGAACATTCTCTCTCTTGTACTATTTACAGTGTTGAAAGAGTTTTTGAGAATTGGATTGTCTCTGTTGTGTTTTTTTTTTTAGAGAGATTTATTTATGCTTATAGAATTGGGGTACAGGTCAGAGGTGTAGGGGTGGTGAGGGGATTCACCAAAGACAGAGTAGGGAGCAGAGCAGGCAGGTTCACAAAGTACACTGCTCAGGGGAGCAGCGAGTGAGCCAGGTGAGGTCTGCAGCACCATGTGGGTCACCTCTGGGGTGTGGATCGAACTTGACTGAAGTGGCTGTGGCCAGCTTGCAGTGCTGCATTTTAAACTATTGCTCCACCAGGGAGGGCCCTGTTTCTGACATGTTTTCTTCAGTCATTATAACATTCTCTTAGAAAGGATTTTTCCTTATTTTACTTACTTTGAAATCTTTTTCTTAAAGTAGCATCAAAGAATGAATGTGAGAAAAGTAAAGATGAATTGAAGAAAAAGAAAACTGATCCAGGCAAAGTAAGTACTATAGACGTAATTCATAATCTTGCCTTCTTTTGAAGTAAAATGATTGACTCCCCAAATTATTAACCATGTTCAGAAGAGTGAATCTGTAGAGTTCCCAACTGTCTCAGACTCTCTCTTCTGGAAGTCTAAGTTCTTTTTATTTTTAAATTTTAGGTTTTAAAATTATTGTCTCTGTATAATTTGTCTCTATAATCTTTTTCTGTATAACTGTTTATGTACCTCTTAATAATTTACATTGTTTTTATTTAATATTTTTTGCATAGAAGAACTGGAGTGTAGGCCAGAGGTGTGTGGGGGTGTGAGGGTGTGGGGGTGGTGGGAGGATTCACCAGAGTAGGGAGCAGAACAGGTAGATTTATTGACATACACTGTGAAAGGGGAGCAGTGGGTGAAGACAGGAGAGGCCTGCAGTGCCATGTGGGTCAGCTCCCTGGCTGGGGTTTTGGGGGTCGAACTCATGCTGCAGTAGCTGTGGAGAGCTTCCTGGTGTTTTAACCTGTTGTGCCACCAGGGAGGGCCCTGAATAATACATTCTTTTCTTTTTTATTATGCAAAAGAGTGGATGTAAAGTATTACATTCTATATCTTGATTTTTTTTTTAAAGATTTATTTGTGCATACAGAATTGGAGTACAGGCCAGAGGCTCAGGGGCATTGAGAGGCTTCACCAGAAACAGAGTGGGGAGCAGAACAGGCAGATCAACGAAGTACACTGCTGAGGGGAGCAGCGGGCAGGTCAGGAGAGGTCTGCCACACCATGTGGTCACCTCTGGGGTGGGTGGGGATCAAACTCATGCAGAAGTGGCTTTAGCTTCTCAGTACTGTGCTTTAACCCGCTGCAGCACCAGGCCAGTATATCTTGATTTTTTTTTACCTATCGTGGAAATTACTGTAAAGTACACCAAGAACTTCCTACTATGTGGATGTATTTAACCAGTTTTCATAGTTGTTTCTAGCCTTTTATTATAATAGTGCTGTAATGAATAACCTTGTGCACTTGTAATTTTGTATGGATACAGTCAGTTCCCAGAAGTGGGACTACTAGGTTGTGTCAGGAGGCCCTACAACCACCCTCAAACTGGTAATTCCTAGGAGGTCTCAGAGGACTCCTAGGTGTGTGGTCGTGCTCAGAGCTGTGATTTACTACGCTGACAGGGAACCAAGCACAGTCAGCAGAGGAAACAAGTAACTGGGGTGACGTGCAGGGAAGTCCGGCATCAGCGTCCAAGTGTCTTTCTCAGTGGCGTCATGTCAGGCATGCTTGAGTCCCCAGGAATAAGTTATGACAATTTGTAAAATGTTGTTAACCAGGGTAACTCAGTAGTGACTCAGTGCCCGGGATTTTTATTGGGGCATCTCCTGCCTGGCACATCCCAAAATTCTGTTCTCCCAGAAAGAAGTAACTGTTTAGCCTGAACCATACTGTTTTTAGGATTTCGGCTTGTTGAGTTAGGGTAGTGAGACCCTCCCCAAATCTAAATTCCAGAGGCCAGCCAAGGCCAACCCTGCTAACAGGCCTTTTAAAGGTTAATAGTCAGGCTTGCTGGGCTAACTCTACACCAGGATCTATGGCAAATTTTCCTGGTGAAAAAGGGGAGTCATATATTTTGAATTATACCGTGTTATTATTGCCTCTCTTCAAGCATATCACTTTCACTGACTGAAAAACATCAGCTAATCAATGACTGAGGATAGAATGTTCCCCAATAGGTGACTTTTGTTAGGATCACCAACAGAACTGTTCTCTTTTAGTTTTGCTTGCTGACAGCATGGGGACAATATTGCTAGAGTTAAAATTCTTTTGATTAAAATTACTGATCTCTGTGCAGTTTCCACCAACACTTTCCTCCAAATATCCAGAAGATGACCCGGACTACTGCGTGTGGGTTCCACCTGAAGGTAGGTTGTTTTTACCTTCTTTAAGGTTTATTTATATATTTTAGAATAGATAATATATATTTAAGATTCAGAGTTAAAAAGTTATAAGAGTGTACAGTCTCCATTCTGGGGTGTAGGTAGATAAAATATCTAAAGGACATATCAGCTAAACATAATTTGTGATTGTTATGCAGATCCTTATTCAAACAAACAACTGTTCAAAAAAATTATAAAGCAGATAATATGGAGTACTGGCTGTGTTTGATGATACTAAGAAGTAATTGATAACTTTTGTTTTTTTTTTTAAAGATTTATTTATTTGTACATACAGAACTGGGGTACAGGCCAGAGGCTCAGGGGCAGTGAGAGACTTCACCAGAGACAGAGTGGGGAGCAGAACAGGCAGATCGAAGAAGTACACTGCTGAGGGGAGCAGCGGGCGGGTCAGGAGAGGTCTGCCACGCCATGTCGTCACCTCCGGAGCAGGCGGGGATCGAACTCATGCGGAAGTGGCCTTAGCTTCTCAGTGCAGTGCTTTAACCCGCTGCGACACCAGGGAGGGCCCGTAATTGATAACTTTTTAAAGGCATAAATGATGCTTTTCAGAAAACAGCCTTATCCTACTGGAATATATGTGCAGTGTTCACAGATGAAATGTTGTCTGGGATTTGTCTTCAGTGCTGGGAGACAGGGGAACATAGGTTGGGGTGATCAGTAAAGCAGCCCTCGCTACATACTGATAATTATAAAACTGGATGATGGTTACATAGAGGTTTGCTATATTTTTCTCTTTTGTGCATATTTTACATTTTTTTTAAAACAACAAAAATCATCTGGCTACGCCTCAGCTACCAGGTTTTCCCCCTCGAGGCGAACCAGCTTGGGCTCACGCGCCTCAGTGGCCAGTGTCGCGGCGCTTAGTTCCCTCATGCTCCTCACAGACTGGCTTTCTACAGACTCGGTTTTCAATATATTTCTTACTTGACAGAAACTCTGTTACTAGAAATGTTTGCATTTTATCTGCTAATAAATATTAGGGTAGAAGTGAAAAGTAAGCAAAAAGGTAAGTGGAATTGTAAGGAAAAAGTAAACTTTCTGTCATAGACAAAAATCTCTTTATCTGTTAAACTTTTGGCCCATTTTTATCTGGGTGTCTTTCCCCTCCTGACTTTGGAAAAGTAAATGTCTCTTCTTTTTTTTACGTACTCTGATCTAGGCCAAAGTGGTGATGGCAGAACCCATCTTAATGACAAGTATGGCTATTGACTACTCCAGAATCCCGAGGGAAGAGTTTGTGGCCTGTGACATGGCATATTTGGGATAATAAGTCAAGTTGAGTGTCCAGAGAAGGATTTGCGGCGTTCACCTGTAAAATCTAGTGACTGGCCTTTTCTTCCATGCTCTTGGTTTCTGGAAATTACCTACCCATTCGATTGTCTGACTTTGGTATTTATGTTTAAAAGTGTTTGTGTATGCATGTAAAAAGGAGCCATATATTTTGAGACTTATTAAAGTGAGAGTCATGTGTAACGGGAAGATGAAGAGGCATCATGTTTATTTAAGTGCTCAGTCTCTTTCATGAGTGAGCTTCAGAGCACCCCCTGCTCGTGCTCAATGTAGAGGCACCAGGTGGAGCAGCCTGGTACCTCTTGGAAGTACCAGTTCGGGGGCCTGTACCCCTTGGAAATGCTCTGCCAGCATGTATTGTCAGCACCAAGGAGCACGTATCCATAGGCTGCCAGGTGAGGCTGCCAGGTTAAGACCTCACCGCCTGCAGGGCCATCTGCAGGATGGGCGAGTCCCACACCACCCTCAGACTGGCCAAAGCAGGCGGCACTGTGCCTAAGAACTGGTGTGGAGAGTTTTAAAAGATTTATTTATTCGTACAGAACTGGGGTACAGGCCAGAGATGCGGAGG